GTACGTCCGAGCACCAAACTGGTGGAAAAGACTCCGGATAACGTCATGTCCGTGGAGATGGAGTCGGCTGGATGAAGCCAACAGTGCCACTAGGCTACCAGTATCTTTAAGTAGTTTTAAAGGCACCTACTAATGTGAGAGATGCAAGCAAATGATTTGAGGATGATGCGATTAACTTCAGATGGATTTCCAACTAATTTTTTTTCTCACCAAGCATTTCAAACGCACCCAGGATCGTATGCCTGACAGGCCGAATCGGTAGTGTGCTGTCCAGTTTTCGTGGAGTTTTGAGTAGCATAGGATTATATTTCACTTTAGAGAAACACTCCACACGATCCGAAATGGGTTATACACAAAAACCGGAAGTCTCATTGTGACCAAACACAAATCGGGGGAGGGTAGCCAAACACTTGACGTTTTGAATTTTTCGTTCATCTCCGTTTCGGTCTGAATTTCTAGATTTCTCGCAGCCATCTTGTTGGTTGTTCCGCTGACCTCGTTACCAGCTGATCCTGCACTGCTTTTACACACGCGCGTCCCAGACCGAAGACACACGTGCCGCCAAGTGCTCTCCTCTCCAATAGTCAAGCTAGCCTCCCATAAATGCGCCCATCTAACCGTGCTCACTTTGCGTAGGGAGATAAACTTCACGTCTAGTGTGAATTCAGCAACCCCCTCTGTGATTTCAAACAGTTCTAGGTAGCTTCTAGTTTACAAACGATATCATGCAGCTTATAACGTGTCCCTTCTTGTCCCGTGCAGCGGACGGTGTTTTTCATATCCAGAATGAGTCAAATTGCATATGCTTCATGTGCACCAAACATTTCGTTGTTCCACAATGTTAGCGAGCATTCATTTTGCGTCCAATAAGTGGTAACGATTTGCTGTTGATGGCCTGCTTTGTGCATAGTGTGTGTGTGTGTGTGTGTGCGTGCGTATGTGTGGAGTTGCTGTGCGTTATAGGCCAGTCAAGACAACATTTTGCTACTAAACATATGACGATCGACTCTTATTGGAAGCTGAGCCGATTCCACAACTTCGAGTGTTATTCGAGGTACCCAATTTTATCCACCCATTCCCTCGGATATCTCTGTACAGATCGTAGCTTAGGTTCACTAGATACACTATCTGGTTTAACGTGTTTTTCCAAGTAGTGTGTGGGTTTGTGACAGCTGTTGCTCACAAGCCGCCACACTTTGATGAGTACCAAGCGTCATCTCACCTCCTTGAAGCCATTCTGTACCATCCACTGGTCCGTCTATTCTGAGGGCGAAATTGCCAAGCACACATAACTACCTTAAAGAAGGGATTGTGCGATGGTGGGTAATCAGCTTGACAGTGCGAGGGCTGCTCCCGGACATCGTTACATCCCTCGCTAGTCTTTGCAATGTTGTTACAAATGTTTCATCTCCATTCGAAGTAAAATCCTCAGTGCGTCGCGTAGGTGTTGATTACTGCCGAGTTTGCGTTTCTTTTCGTACCAAGAAAGGATCTTTAACCATGATTTTTTCGTTTGGTGGTCAGTTGTGTTGGGAGGGGGGTTGTTAGTCCGGGTTTTCGTGGGTCGACATGTCTAACCACACCTTGTCCTTCTCGTATCTGATGGGCCGGAGATGGACTTAGTCAGTCAGTATTCGAGCTTGCGATCCTACCAATAGAACCGGTCATCCCCTAGTCAAAACACGTACCAAAGCTGATCGAAACCCAACTGAACCACAGTACATCCGTACCATTCTACACGTTGATGGTACTTCTTTGATTGGCTACGAAACGTTTGCAGCATAGTTGTCAAGGTCACCACAATTGAGCTACTGTCAAACACACGGACGGAAAGAACCGTTAGACGAAGGAAATACCATAGTTTGTTTTAGGCACAAGACGCCCTTGCTCCACTTTTTTGGGGGAGGGACGTCACCTTGGAGCACCGAAACCATTTCTTACTTTGAGTTATTAACCGCCTGAAACCAAAGGCACAATCGAACATAGCTATAAAAATTTCATCTTCCCGTCTCATACCATAAGACGTATGTGCTGTGAAGTCAAACTGTTAATAACTCTATGCTTTCTTTAAATAGAATGGAAATGAAGGTTTCTCACCATTGCAAACTCCGTTTGGCTTTTATCTGGTCGTCGCAACCTAATTCTGGGTTTTATTTACGTCCAATTTGGGCGTCAGTTTGTTGTTTCATCATCCTCGAAAATCTGGAAAAAAAAGTCCGGAAATTCTTCGACACAAACGCACTTTACTCTATTGTAGCCACGATAAGCACACTGAATATCTGCTGTATTCTCTGTCCTTAGTACTGCTAGCATCTGAGAACCTTCGCTCTCTCCTTCTTACCCCTTTGTGATGTACAGCTTTGATTTATACTACTTAAAAACTTTGACTGAAGTCACACTGTTATTGATGCGCGTCTAAGAACTATTGGTTCTCGAGTCGTGATCTATCTGTCTACACTTCGTGTTGTCCGATGAGCGAACTTGAGTCTAATACTCGTACGGTGCTTACCTTACTTCCGTTGGTCACGAAACATATTGATTGAATGTGTCAGAACGTGCCTCGCTTGACCGTTGAACAAGTTTAAGAGGAGTTCATGTTGAAAAATGGGTGACTACGATACCTGTTAGATGGGTTTCTTACAAAGACTCTTTTTCTGTCCTTGTTGCCTTAAAGGGTCATAGTGTGATTCGACCATCCCATTTTAGTCAAGTACAAAGAGTCCTTCGTACAAATCCTGTTGTTTACTGTTTTCACTCTCTGGAATGATATAACTTGTTTGTTCACGTGATGTTCAAAGTGATTTCCTGATCAGCCGGATTTCCTTGAGGCTAGTGGCTACTCGGAGCTGGTGATTTTCCCTCTTTGCTCCTTGCTATTGGGGTTCCGTTCATGCATCATAGTTCATTTTTTGGTCTTATTGCGTCAGCTAAACCATTACATCCGGATATCACATCCGATCAATACTAGGCCCTGTTGTACATTTTCTCCACCTTCACTTGTTTTCCAGCCTTACGCGCTGCTACCATCAACCGCTGCTCCTGACCGGCGTATCACTGCCATCTTCCCGCCTGCGCATTTACTCCCTCCCCCCCCCCCACCAACCCACTGCCAACCATTCCACACAGACACGAACACCACATTGTGTCAGTCAGTTAGCCGGCCAGCCAGTTAGAACAAATGACGATGATATTGGCGGATATCGGTGGCAGTTTTCTCTGCCAGCCCGTTTTATTCATGCGATTAATACTTCCGCAAGTTTGCCTCCGCACCATCGCTGCTACAATTGCTTCTCTGTTTTTTTTGTTTCGTTTTATTTCTTCGATAATGCTAGATTTTTTTTCTCTAGTTTGTTTCCGATTTTTCAGTTTCGACCCACAATGTAACGCGACACAATGTAATGCGTTTTTTTTTATCACTTTGGTTGGTAGGTTCCCAGTCTGGAGGAAAGTTTGCTGCGAGATATACGTTTCACTCCTGTTGTCTTTTTCCGGGTTTAGGACTAATTGCTGGCACGATTTCCTGGGTTTTTTCTCTTACTCATTATCATTGTTAAAATGGGGTTTCTCTTCATTTGATCTCTCTCTGTTCGTCTTACGGATGTCCGATCTCCGCCCACGTGTTTGTAAAACTTCTACAGAATTCCGCGCTTATTCCTCCCTTTTTTCTCTCCCGTGAGCCGCAACTAATTGATGTCTCGTCTTGCAAAATGTCGCACGTTCTCCTTTCGACAGAGGAACCTGTGATCCTGGTGAGACTCTGGTGCAGGTCATGCACTTTCTAACGACGATCGATTTGTCATATCTGTATGTCTGAAGACACCCACTCCGTTTGCCTTACCCAGTTATCCACTCTGTTTCCGATTTTATTGAGTTTCACTGTTCCACTTTTTTCTTTTCTCTGTTACTCGCGGTTGCAGAGAGTCCCATTCAATGTATACATATGACAAACTCATACAATATTCATATCACGGTATACGAAATAACCGTATTGGTTGCCTTATTACTCTAATCTTCTGGTGAAATCTAACTGCTCCGTTAATGAGAAACAAATCATGATCTCTCAAATTATCAGTGGTAATTTTTCTCAAAGAACTCTTTGACACACCTGGTCAAAATCTCGTAAGCTGAACTGCGCCTTGCGAAACATTGACTCGTTTGAGTTTGGCCATTTTATCCTGTGTGAGGCGTCTGTCATCGTAGTGACCTTGCCAAAACTGGATACAGTTGAGTACAATCACCACTGCTGATGAGCTTCTGGGTGCTCGTGGCTACTGACTGCTCCACTTGTGGTAACCAGAACTTCAGACGAACTCGTCGGAACTTTTAGAAATAAGTATATCCGGAATTCAGAATCATAACTCATACACACACGACCAATTTGGGAACAAGTGGGTAGGATAGGTCAATCAGCCACCAATGGAACGAACTGTCAGTTTATACCGCCATCACCATCTGTTGTCTGCTGCATTTCGCCGTTCCGATTTTCTCCTATAAAGGCTGCTTTTTGGAGTACTAAACACTTTGACCGGTGGTACACCAGTAGTCAGATGTGCGCAGGTTCTCTCGTCCGGTTGATGAATGGTTATGTGGGGCCGGCTAGTTAGTTTAATGATGGTTCAGCTTTACTGAAAGTCACTTGCTGGAGATCCGTTCCGCTTGCGTGCAGCGTTGACGAACAGGGCTTATTCTGACCGGGTGCGTATCGATCGATCAGGACAGTTTATACAACTAACTCGGAAGTCTCAATTTCGACAATGATAGATCTCCTTACGCCGGATTTGATCCTCTGGCTCTGTATCTTGTTCTTCATTTGATTCGCTCAAATCAGATCTTGATGTGGTACTCTCTCAGTTCCTGAAATACTTTGTGTCTCCTTTGAAACTCCGTTGGGCGGCTAACCTATATATGTCTTGTTTAGGGACATGAACACATCCCCAAATCCTAGGATCATCAAATCAAAGGGAAGTTCCAAAGTGGCTGTTCTTGCTAAGCGGATATAGAGGTGCACGTCTGCTAGGTTTTGTAACGCTGTAACCCCTAGCTTAATCAAGTGGAACGCAAATCCGAGAGATAGTGGCTAGGTATAGCGATGGAATCTTCCCATTACGTTAGGTGAGGCGCCGGCCACTAAGCTTTTTCTAGTAGATTAACTCTTCTAAAAGTAAAACATAATGTTGAGGAAATCTAGGGGTCCACGAGATGGCCCAAGTGGTTAGAGCGCAAATTTACTGACCGGAAAGTCCGAACCCGACCTCTGCCTCTCGACTCCCCCTGTCTAGGCTCGGCCAACCTGGCAGTAGCCCAGCCCTCGTGCCTCCTTTGGGTAGCATGGCAGCTACCCACCGGAAGGGTGTTACAGCTGAACGATTTTTAGCGGTCCGCGCCTACCTGATGAGCCTCAAGAAGGGCGCAACCGGTCGTGGATTGTCCAACGATCTTGTGCAACCTTGTGAGTAGTTTTTCTAGAACTAGTTCGATAGAAAGTGGTGTCTTCGAAGCTCCTAAATGTGCTTCGTCTCCTGAGACCTCCGGTCACGCCGGAATGCACACGCAACAGTCGAAAAATTCGCAGGTTTGATCAAAACTGTTCTGCTTCTTTCTTTTTGTTTGAGACTGCAGAATTCATGACGAGGACAAAATGGTCTGCAGATCATCGTCATCAATCCACCCGGTAGACTTCATAAAATGTTCGAAGTAGTCCACTGTTTCGGCGTGCCTTATGCGCCTTTCAAGATAGAAAATCTCCCGCAGCTTCCTTGAAACTTCAATGCAGCCAACTCGAATCCGTTTAGCAAACACGGGTTCAGGCAGTTGCGTAAACCGTAACTTGTACGCGCGTATTATCTGAACTCACACAACGTTTTTTGACTTGTTTCAGTTGCCGCCCCAAAAACGAGAACGCAGCGCATTCGAGGCAAGTTAGGAGCAGCCCTACCTTATATTGATGTGAAACCTGCAATCCGTTGAGAGTCTTAGTTAGTTAGTTACGGATGTTTGCTTAGCATAGCTTCCAAGTGCCCCACCATCAGATGTGAACTCATCCTGGGACGAGATTGCCACCTCTTTGCA